ATTCATGCGGTAGAAGGGTCTCGTCGAAGCGGTTGGTCGTACAACGTGTCGTACGACAGATCGTACGGCCAACCGCCACAGACTCTGCAACTCCAGTCTCTATACTGTATTTATACGTCCTACACCGGATCCTAGCCTTCAAAATCTGATCTTACACGTATTCGCGAAACAGCCGCTCGCATTCTTGTACGATAATTAGAAAAAAGGAAGGTCGTGGAGATCGTGGTCCACGTGTTAATCCTACTTTAAGGTTCTCTTTTGACCGTGTTTAAAATTATCGCACCGGTCTCTAAAAATAAAGAGCTTGCAATTCTCGAATTCCTGACGCGTCAGAGCGATCGTACGTCCATATTCGATTCCCAGCGTCGCGAGATCTACAAGAATTGCCAGGTTTTTGTCGAACCGTCTCAGAAAAATTCAATTCTTGCCGCATTGTGGGGCTCGACGAGCGACGGTCGGGACGAAAATGCGAGAATTCCGGTATCGAGGGTGGAAGTAATCTCGCCGGAGTCGACGAGGTGAATCGGATCGGTCGTGGCTTCGGGGGAACTTTTTGTCGCGCGGACGAGGAAGTCGGAGTTTGCGAGGACTGCACTCGTCTCGAGGGGATCGTTCCTTCTGTCGCGTTTATCGCTGCGGCGCCGCGCCGAGTACGTTTCGGTCGCTTTCGCCCGGCTAGGCAATATTTTACTGGAAGCTCCAATCCGACAGCGAATACTCGGGATCGTTCGAGATATTATCGCCTGACCCCCAGGATTATCTTGCTGTTGGTTTTCAGTGGACGGTTCGCTGGACGAATACTGTACACGTTTCGCGTACAAAGTGACGACTGTTGTCGGTTGGTCGAATCAATTCCACGAATCGGGAAATCGGGTTTCCCCCACCACCCCACCCCTCATTCTCCCATGTTGTTTGCGGATCGTCCCTTTGAATCCGATGGATCGCATTTATATCGGCGACCGGCGATCACCCGATTCGATTCTTGCGCCCGGGAAGCCTCGATTCGGACACCGTTCTACATATACATATAGTATTATTTTTGCAAAACTTGTTTATCTACGATTCAACTTCAGAATCGTGTTTTTCGCCCAAAAAAACGTTTTGAAAATGATGCTGAAGTCGACTTCTAGTTTGGAAGTTTTGCAAAAATAAGACCCTGAATTCGAAGAAGAAGAGTGTTTTGTAAGTAAACCACGTGATACAATTTTTGTATCGAGAAACCGACTTCAGAATCGTGTTTCTTGCCCTCAAAAACATTGAAAACCATATTTTAGGGGAAATCTAAAAATAAAAATTTTTGGTCGAAAATCGACAAGGGGATTTCAAGGGGACCCCTTGAAATTTTCAGCTTTTGCAACTATTTATTTTTTTACTCCAAAACCTTAAATGGGAATTCGATGAAATTTTTACCGAATGTTCACATTCATAATAGGTACCCATGAAAAAATCGGTGACCCGCTAGAAAAATTGTAAGGGCTTCAAAAAAATTCGTAAGTGTTTTTGAGGTTTGTGATCTTTGACTTCAATTTTGAGGGTGATAAAGCCATCTGAGCGTTTTTTAGCATTAAACAATATTTTTTGGGTTTTAAAAGAGCTATCCAACACCATATGGATGGAGTAAATCGGTTAAGAATCGAGGAAGTTATGGACGTTTAAAGTTGGCTAGCCAACGATTAGGTCACGATTTTAGTCAATTCCCAGGGTTAGTATAGAGAATGACAAAATTTTATCCAATCATCACGAAACTCGGTATCTATAGGTTTTTTGGGGTGCTGGATCCGTATATGATGTTATTTTTCCTATAAAAAATTTTCTTGAAGTAGTTTACTTAAAACTTTGTACAGTTTTTTGGCGATAACTTGAGAAATAATTTTCCTACAATTTTGTAACTATTTTTATCGAATTTCTCGCATCGATTTCAGTGCGAATCGATAATAATATTATAAATTAGTTAAAATAGTAAACCTACAATATTTTCTAATTAATACTAAAGAAAATATAACCTAACCGTCTTATTGCAAATTCCATTATTTTTCAATAATGGTCTAACGATATTTAAAGACAATACTCAATTAGAAGCTCCATTAAAATAGTTAAGCCAAAGTTGCCACTTTCAATCTGAAAGCGTTAATAAACTTCCCGGTGTCAGAGAAATGAAATGCTAACAGGTAATTTTAAATCAAACGCGCGCCTTGCACGCTGATTTCGCCTCTGCCAATTTGCACACAAGTTAATTGTTTATTTAGACAAAGCGAAACATCCGTTTCCGTGAAACGGATTCCTTCAATGGATCCTTTGTAATTAGAATATATCCTTTTGATCGTCTCGGGAAGGAACTCGGGATGCATAGCACTCGGAACGCGCAATTGTTATTCGAGTCCGTCTCTGTGTCGCGCTCGCCGAGAGGATATTTGTTGAATAATTATGCCCGTGCATCCGTTCATTTGTTATTCTTTCTCCGAGGCTGTTGTCCCCGGCGAGGAATATGCGACCGTCCAAACGAATACGAGAATTAAAGAAACGCGACGACGGGCTTCATACGTTTTTCGCCGTTAATTGTTTTCATTATTTAGACAACGGCCAAACGCAAAGGTAGCTCTTTCGAAATTTCGCGAAATTGTCGCCCGAGTAATTAAAAATGAAAAAAATTTGTACGCGAGCTATCCTCTAATTGAATTGGGACCGAATATACGTTTAAACATCAAGCGGTTACATTTTCCCGAAAAAATTCAATCTTTTATCCCGCTTCCATTTTGTTCTCGGGAGAGATTTAATTAACCCACGCGCATCGAATTCGTTCGGCGGAATATCTTCTCGTTCCGACAAAGCTGCTTGCACAAACATCGATTTCCCGTTGGTTCGATTCCGCCGCGTTCGCGCCAGAACTTCCCAATAACAAAGCACCGAAGAAGCAACTCTATCGCGTCCGACTCTCGCCGCGACGTATAACCAAACCATCAGGAAACGTATTTCCCGTCGAAACGGGAGGACTCGTCCTCGTCGAAGAAGCGCAATAACTTCTGTAATTCGGTATTTCCGGCGCGCTCGCGGGAACCGTATGCAAATCCTTCGACTACAACGACAGCTGCTCCGAGTACGTCGGAGAGCCATTCCTTGATCCTGTCTCGCCAAGTTTCGCGGCGCTAGGTAACTCGACGTCACGGTGCATTTCGGCCAGATCAATGATAACAGCCGCCATGAATCGCGCTCCTCGACGTGGTTTATTACCCGCTGGAGTTTCGAAATCCGAGGATATTTTCCGCCGGAATTGGGATACCTCGGTGCAAGAGGCATTCAACTCATTCCGTACTTCGTTTTCTGAATGATTAGGAAAAGCGTGCGCAAAATAAATTCGCGGAGATAGTATATTCTGTTAAATGAGTATAATAGGGTTTTAATGTAATAAAAGTGTGTTTTATCAGAGGGTTTCCGCTCCGACAAAGAGTGACGCTGAAAGCGTAAGACGTCTATGTATGTCTATTAAATTTATTTCCGTTGCGATGCAAGGGGTCTGCATGCTGTGAGAGGATTTCAGGATGGACATATAGTAAAGTCTCCTTGAATGC